GCCCAAGATCCCGAGAGGAGAATGGAGGAGAAGGGATTGCGGTGTGACCATCCATCCCCCCTGGGGGGTGATTTCTCGCTTTCTGTCTCTATGTCTCTCTCTGTCTGGCAAGCGCACGTGCCCTATAGCGAAAACCTCTCAAAAAAAAAATGTTAGTGGAAAGGACTGTCCCTGTAGTCTAGCGGTTAAGGAACACAGATCTCATATGGCCAACCATGGTACAAATCTCAACCCTGGTGGTATGTCAAAGACCATTATGTCTAAGATCCTGACAGAAGGGAGAAACGTTGAAGAGACTGCGGTGAGAACATACCCACTGGGGGTGCTTTCACCCTTTCCCTCTCCCTGGCAATAGTACATGCCCTCTGGCAACTGAAAAAAAAAAAAATCCAGTATCCATACAGTTTTTTTCATAATATGCATTTTCCATGAACTTTCTGAAGACCCTTCATATTTCAAGCTGTTCAGTGATACATTTATTCACTAACCACCACTCTTTGAACACCTTTAATATGGTGAGCACTATTAGGAGCCATAGGAGACACAGATGATAATGATCCCATTATAGCCTCAAGAAGCTCAAAGTGTGAGGTATAAGATAGGCATAGTAACATTTACCTATTTATATGCATAGGCATGGGTTAAAAACTGTTTACTGGAATGGTAGTGTATGCTGGCTATTCTACCACACAAATGCTTCTAGAGATTTCCTTTGTCAATCTAGAAAATGTAGAGACCTGACCCCAAATTATCTTCTGCTTTAGGGAATTACCCAACAATGATGTGGGCTGACTCAGTGTAGTGAAAATAAACCCTGAGACAGCTGTGAGGACGAAGTACACAGAGAGGCCTGGGCTGTGTGGCTAGTGCTCCTCAAGAATCCCCAGCAGGTCTGTCACACTCACTCCATTGGTGCTGCCCTTTCGGTTGATGTCCTGAAGAACGGCCTTGTCCAGTCCCAGCTTTAGGCTGGCCTTGTCAAACATCTCCCGCTCATAGGAGTTCCGAGTGATGAGGCGATAGACCTTCACGGCCTTGCTCTGGCCTATACGGTGACATCGAGCCTGAGCCTGGGAATAAGAGGAGCCATAGACACATTAGCAAATGTAATGGCAGCAGCCCTGGGAAAGAGGAAGTGCACCATGCGGTATGAGTGGCAGCTCTTGCAGTTATGAGTCGTGGGACTGGTTTTGGAACAGAGTTCATCTGAAGACCAACTGGTACCTTTGGGGTTACTTGTTTCTCTACTCTCTGTTTACTGAGTGACTACTGTGTGCTAGGAATAAAGTAATCAGGACACGGTTTTCTCACGTTCCTTAGTGTGAGTCTGTGCACTCATTCCTAGGATGCTGGACTGTTCTCCAGGGAAATATCTTAGAGCTGGTAACATCACTTTTTTATTTTACATTTTTACTTACTATAGACATTTTCAAACAGAGATAAGCACAGTGACCTCTTATGGACATCCTTGTTTTATTTCTACCACACCCCTAACCCTCTCAGATGGCTAGGAAACAAATTCTGGGCAAACAGCAAACACTGTTTCATCCTTACATATTTCAATGTATCACCAATGCCACAGTTAAAACAATTAATTCTTAGTACCAACTATCTAGTCAAGCGTTCCAACTTCCTTGCTTATCCTTTTTAATTTTGCTTATCTGGATGAGGAGCCAAATGAGGAACATTAGTTGATGGTGTTTCAAGTCTCTTTATGCATAGATACTCCCCACCTTCAATCTCTTTTTTGTCAAGTGCAATTTATTCGTAAAAAAAGACCAGCCATCTGTTCTACAGTCTTCCATAGGATAATCTACACTCTGCTGTCTACATTCTTGCTGTGTCACTGAACAGGGGCCTCTGTTCCCTGTATTTCCTCTAAACTAGAAGTTACATATATCTTGAAACTTGATTGGGTCAAGTATTTTTTCAGCAAGAGTATTTCATAGGTGGTATTTCAATTTCCATCAAGAGACCACTAGTCTATGGTTGTCTTCCTTTTCTTTTTTTAAAGAATTATTTATTGGGATCAGCAGTTAGCGTAATGGCTATGTCGCTGGACTCCCACATAGTCGACCATGGCTCGAGTCCTGGACCCGGTTTCTTAAAACTCCAGCCGGACACGTGTGTGTGTGTGCCCAAGATCCCAAGAGGAGAATGGAGGAGAAGGGACTGCAGCATGGCCATCCCCCCGGGGGGTGATTTCTTCTCACTTTCTGTCTCTCTGTCTGTCTCTGTCTGGCGAACGCATGTGCCCTATAGCAAAAAAACCTCTCCAAAAAAAAAAAAAAGATTTATTAAGTTTTATTATTATTTATTTACATGTGCTCACCAGAGAGAGACAGGGACAGAAACAAAGAGAAAGAAAGTGAGAAAGTAAGCTGGCAGGTCCGGGACTCAAACTGCAGTCAGCCATATCGGAAGTCCAGTGCCTCAGCCACCATGCCACCTGCTGGCCCCTGCTTGTCTTCCTTTTGAACTGAAGATCACTGCCAAGATGTGTTACTTTACTAGGGGCTACAATTTCCCTCATCAATTTTTTGGTTACCCTGATGTATAGTTTATATAGGCAAGACAAGCTAAATGTTTGATTCTTTCTGGTTTATCTATTTCCAAAATAACATCACCCAAGAGTGACCAATAAAATTTTTTATTACTATTAGTTTTTAAAGGAACACAATGAAACTATACATTAAAATACATCTGCTATGTTATGCTGCACACTGCAGTTATTGTTGTCTAAATATGGCCTGTGGGAGCCTCTTCAAGTTGGCTCCTGAGTTCATTCAACATGACCCAGTTGAATTAAAAGGGATTAGAATAGGCTCTGTGGTGTTACAATGGATTTGGAGTTATCAGTATGAACTCATGGAGGGGGTGTGCTGTGTGTGTGTGTGTGTGTGTGTGTGTGTGTGTGTGTACATGGATACAGAATTAGATATGCATGCATGTGTATTTGTTTGTATGTTATATCAAAGACTAATATATATATATATTTAGAATATTACCCTTGTCTTTAACATGTTCCATAGTTCTTTAATATTCCCTTCCCAGACCTGGCTTCAGACATTTTTTTCAAGGAGTCCTAGCTTTTTTCAGTGGGAAATACTTTTTTCTCCCAAGTAAGGGAACAGCTGTTTATTGACAATGAGAGAGAGGGGTGGCCACACTGTGTGCAAAGCCTGGAGATCCAGAATCCTTTCCCACTTAGGACAGAGGTGGCCCAAAGTGACCTTGGCTCCTCAATGAATTAATGACAGCAGTATTGGAGCCTTGGACTCTTGCTCCTGTCTCGGGTCTTATTATGATATCAGGATCCAGACAAGCGACAGGAGCCCCTGCCTCTGAGGTGGGCTGTTTAAAGATAGCGGCATCCCAATGAGTGTGGTTTTAACGGGACTGGGACCAAAGAAAGAGAGTCTAAGATTCTAAATTTGCCTACCAGAGACTCACCTGATGCCAGAATCTTCAGGACAGGGAAGCCTCTACCCCTGCCCTGCCCAAATCCTTCCTCCATCAACTTCCTGGCTCAGACCCACACCATAATTTTCTAACTTAGCGCTAAAGTGACCCAAAAACTGAGAAGCCTAGTGAGTGCTGGGATAGAAGAGGGGCTGATGGGGAAAACGGGAACAGGAGTGGGCCATTGTAGCAGGGACCAGATGAAGGGGGACTGAGCAGTGCCTGCCACCTAGCCACTGTATTACAGAGATCCTCTTTGCAACAAGAAAGCTTGTGGTTCATCTCAGTACCCCAAATTTGCATATCCCGAACAACCAAGTTGTTCTCAAGACAGTGGGGAAGGCAAAACTTGTTCTCCTCCTACTTTCTCAGACTCAACCACGGCGATCTCCTTCTGGGAGACAGACCCTGTCAGGAAGCAGCATGTGGCTGGCTGGCATGAGCTTACGTGTGAGGTTGCCAAACACTGGCAGCAGCACAGATCTCACACCCTTGTTCATAGCAAGGCTACCAGCAGGGCCATAGCAAAGTTCTTCATGGAATGAGAACAGCTTCATTTTTCAATTCTCTAGCCAGGCTGGTCATGTTTCATAGCTCCAACAGGTTGGTCATGTTTCCAGACCTACTATGTGGGCAAATGTAGGAAGTGATTGTGTGTGAACAGTGTAAACAATTATGTGCACATGTAAGACAAAATACTGGGCTGCCAGAAAAGTCATGAGGCATTTTTGCATAGAAAAAGAGAAAAATACACCATGACTTTTCCGACAACCAAATATATCATGAGGTCATACTGATATTTTTAGTTTGAATTATGATTATGGGATTTAAATTTCATCAACCTTATCATCTGTATTCTTTCCAACATACTGAAACACTCAATTATCAACCACATCAGTTTTCTTACCCATTTCACTCATTCTATTTTTTGTATATATGTATATATGAAAAAAATATATAAATATTTAAAAAATATATATATGTGTGTATATATATATATATATGTGTGTGTGTGTGTGTGTGTATTTCCAGAAAAGTTACATTATGACCCATTCAAGACACAATTACTAAAAATAATGTAAGATTTCTGATGTTCCCCAACCACTTAGGGTTGTACCCCATTAAGTATGTATGGTCAAATTACAGTATTTTAAATACACACTTAGAAGTAGGTTTATTTTTTACAGTAGCAGGGTTAACAATCCTGACATTACTTAAATCTAGGAATGAATAAATGAGTAAACACACACAGGGTAATAGGTGTAAGGTCTTTAACTATAAGAGAAAGAAGTTAAAAATATGGAAAGGAGGAGAATCAGAACAAACCATGTAGTATTTGAATGATTTGGAGGCATCAGTATTAACTCATGGTTAAGTGTGTGTACACATACATAAAAACATACAGATACAAACAGATAAATAGATATGGATATATATGTGTTTTTATGTTTACATTATACATATAAGTGGATATACGAAGGAATGCATATGTTATATACAAATGTATATTTATTTTCTGTGTGTGTATTTTAGCTATGTTCACTGAGAAGACCAAACAATTTTATCCTAGTAGCAATGAACATACCTAACTCCTAGATTTTGATTTCTAAGTATAATTTTCCATTAAGATAGAGCCAAGGTGTGTTTGAGAAATGACTGTGGGTAGAAAAAAGAATGAACCTTGAAACTACTGTGCCGGATGAAAGTAAGAACTCAAAGAACGGACACGTATCAAAACAACACTTGGGCTGGCCCCGTAGTGTGGTAGTTAAATGCTGTGCAAAGAAAGCCAGATCCCATAGCTAAGCAAGGTTCAAGTTCTGGCTCTGACAGCTTGAAAAATACATTGGGCACATATGCCTATGTGTCTCAAATCTTCAGAGGACAGTAAAATGGAGGAAAAAGGATTGTGACATGACTGCCACATTGAGATTTGCTTTCTCTCTCTATCTCTTTCTCTCTCTCTCTCCCCCTGAAGAGTATATATGCCCACTAGCAATAATAAAAACAAACAAACAAACAAAAAACAACTTTAAGCTTGAAGAGATTTCTACTGACTAAGTCTAATACATGAACATCAAAATAAAGACAGAAATGGATTATACTTTATTGAATGAAAAAAGAATCCATGAGTTTTCCCTTCTTCTCCTTTATTTGTTTATGTTTGTTTCTTTTCCCCCACATGTTTATTATTTATTTTCTTATGCTATTTATTTATTTTTTTCCCTATATTTATTTAAGGGTGAAGACTCAGTCAGTCCATATTGACATAAACAAGTGGGAGAAGGGAAAACTCTTCTTATAAGTAGACTGCCAACTAACAAATGCAGAGTGAGAAATTAGAAAATCACTTTGTAACCATCTGTGATGACTGATTCAGATAAAAATAATCAAGGGAAGCTAAAACCAGTGAGTGAAACTTTGATGAGGAACAAGCAATCTCAACATATTTACTCCAAATTACTTACTAATTTCAAAGAGAGAAATATAAACTTTACAGTGGAGAAATCTGATAGACACCACTTAACTAAGTGATCCAAGTCCTGAGAGACCTCCTCAGACAGGTGGACAGCATGCTCCTGGGCAGAACACACTGATTCTGTTAGCA